AAGTATTCTCTGACAAAGGGTGTTCATTGATTACGGAATGAAGATTAAACGGATTAAGATGTATTGTATAATAATAATAAGAGCAGCAGTTGGGTTTGATTTCAGAACTAGTATAAGCTCAGATGGCAAACTACAATTCTTTTGTGTTGAAAATTGCATGCAGTAAATATTGTGCTATGACTGTATGAGGCCTATTCAATTCAATTCAATGTATTCTTGTATAGCCCTAAATCACAACAGTAGTTATCTCAGAGAATTGAACATTTCACACACAAATAATACAGAACACATAGGTATTTGTCCAATTGCACACATTACACAAATCCTCTTTTTTGAGTTTTTAACCAAGTTACGACATTGTTCAAAAACACATGTTTAGCTCCATCCACATCAGAAACTGCATGGTTATTTTCCTCTTTGCTGTGTTTTTTTTACATCAATCTCCCTCTGGTGGTAGATGGTTGTGAATTGCATACATCTGCTTTCAGATTTAAAGCAGCAACAGAGCATGATGCTCAGAGATGGACTGATAATATATACTCAGTGTGAATCATAACAAACCCTGCTTTAAATCTGTCCTTTTTTTCATCTTTCCATGACAAATCCAATCCTCTGCTCCATAAAGCGCACAGGTGTCCGTCATACCTGAGGCATGCGTGACCGGAGTGTGGCCTGTGCTGCTGTGTCAGAGGCAGGAGGGAGGGATTAGCAACAGACAGGTGTTTTTAATTGGCTCGGCTCCTGTCCCGAGCTCAACACGTTCTAATCTCCTGAAGAGCATTTCTCTGTCATTAAAACACTCAAAACGCTGTCATTTAGCTCACGCACTGAGAGGGGAAGCTGACAGCACTACTTTTGTCTGTGATTTAAACATTCACAGACTATTAAACTCCTATAAGCTCTTGCTCTTTTCATAAGTGCGTGAGCTTTGTAAAAGAAAAGTATTTGAGCAGTAATGACATGAAAAGTGATCTGTTTTATCATGGCCCCTCGCAGCAGGTGGCTAGACTGAGAGATTATGGGATATAGAGTTCTCTTCAGAGAGAAGACAAAATGGCTTTACTCGGCTTGTAGCAAAAGTGTTTGCATTTTTCTCTTAGGCTTGTAGTCTTTGAGGTATTTTAATTATAAATGTTTTGATAGAAACTCCTTAAAGTATACATTCTTCATCTAAGGATGTGTCTTAGTTGTAGGATAATTGACAGCCCGATCGGTTAAAATATTGGATCCATTTTGTAATAAGTTGTGAATTGAGGATAAAAAATGTTCCTATTTTCAGTCACTGGACGGTACGATACCAATTATCGATATTGAAAGTATCTATCATTCCTGACATGAAAAAGCTGCATGTGCACATCAAACTAGCAATTTCTCACTTAGAAAAACTCAGCTGAAATCAAGACACATTTTGCTGAAGCATATATCTGTTTACATGTTTTGCTGTAGCCTGGCCTTAGCCATCCCTACACTCCGTTCAATACTAATTTCACTGCATGTAACGTCTGGGTCTGGACCCTGGGTTAGCGATTACAATTGGTTGAATTTCAACCGACCAATCAGAGAGCGGGGAAGGCAGGTGTTGTAGTTTGTTGTGGGTGACGTCAAGAGTTTGCGTCGAACGGGAAGGTTGTAGTTTGGCAATGGCGAAGAATGTGATAGTAAAGTATTTCGGTCTGGTTCTATCAAGAAATTTAAGCAGGAGCAAGAGGAATGTTTATCAAATGTAATCGCTGGTCAAGATTGTGGCGCTAATCCAGGGACGTGCGGTGAGGTTTGTGATTGGGGAGGCACTGACTTTAAAAGTCAGATTTACAATCATTATTCAAATAAAATAGCATTTAATCACCAATGCAATGACATCCACAAACTTTATATACTGTAAAGATAAGAGAACCAGCTTCTTTTAATAATCTCACAACAAATCTAGCTGCTGACTCTGCTCCGCATCAAACAACATCTTTAAGAAGCGCAGGTGCGAGAGACGCGAGGAGAGAGAGACGCGAGGAGAGAGGAGCAGAGAGAGACAGAGAGGAGCAGAGAGACGGAGACGCGAGGAGCAGAGAGAGACGGAGACGCGAGGAGAGAGAGACGCGAGGAGAGAGAGACGCGAGGAACATAAACAATAATTTAAACAAGTTGCAGAACTCTTGAGCAGTGTTTGAATCAGTGTTTTTCGGAAAAGCACTACTTTGCCGGTATCTGTCAATGTTCAACATAAAACACAGATTAACAAACTCTCCCCCGCAGCCGGACTAACCTCGTAAGTCCAGTGGTGGTCTCCCAGTCTATATTAATTCTTTCTTTGTTTGAAAGTCCAATTGAGAAAAAAAATCTTCATTCAAATCATCCATTTTCCAGCAAAAGAAATAGCATTTTGGGCTGATTGTTAGCAACTCTGGTATGAACTTTATGCTCACTATCACCCCTAGCGGTGAGGCACAGATACCGCCTGCCTCACGCCAAGCTTTTTCCTTGTGTGTTCATCTACGATCAAAAGACTTAAACTAAATATAAATTGTACACACATACGTGCAATACACTACTAAACACTAAGAGGAGTTTAAAAAATGTTTTTAAAGCAGGATATTTGAAACAAACGGTGATATATCAACTGCACGAGCTGAGTGCACTCAGACACACACACACACACTGTGAGGGAGCGGTCTGGGGTGAGGCACGCAGGAGCGCTGCCTCACCTCGTCTCTTTGAATAGGAATAACGGGATTTCGGCGATTTTGACTTCAGAAATGATCAAAACTGATGGGAACCGTACCGAATATACATTAAAAGCATAGGACAGTGGATATACATTATATATTTAAACTAAAATAATTATTAGTTTCCAATAATGGCAGGTGAGGCTCTGCCTCCCCTGCCTCCCCTGACTGCACGTCCCTGCGCTAATCCCCACGGGCTCCGTTAGCGGCAAAGGAGATGGCTAGGCTAAATGCTAACTACTCACTCGGGCGCTTTACATACGTCACGGTAAAATCAGATCCAATCGTTTCAATCTGCAAAAGGAGTTAACCCTGATAATCTGTAAACGGAGCTCAATGGAGCACCTCCAGACCTTAGTACGAAATGTAATGTGTACTATGGTGTGTATGATCAGGCTAGTTTTGCTGTGTATCTTCTTTCCAGTTATGAATCTGAAACACAAGATCAAAATTAATGTACTCTATTTCTTTTTTTTTTCATCCTGCACATCTGTTTGAGGTTGATCAATGCAGTGTTTAGTAAACTAGGGACAGAGATTTTAGTAATCTCATCAATTTTCTCTTTTGGAGCAAAAAAGTATCGATTGGACGGCTGCCCCATGTGTCTGTCATTGCTGTGGCATGAGCACCATCTGCCCTTTGCATGTTGATTTGTTATTCAGAGTGTCCGTGTTTGGTGAGCAATCAGACCCACGTGTTGATTCTGACTCATTTTAGCTGGGCTTTCACTTCAATGCTGTTATAATTGCAAGATTCAGTGTTCTGTAACTGTAATCTGTCATATGTCTTGTGTCTCAAGTAATTATACACGTAATGTTGAAAACAATAACCATACAGTTTTTAATTGGATTTGTTATTCTGAAAGTTCACACACAAGGAACGAACATCTGTTTAGTGAAAGCAAGTGACACATGATTCTGTTATTACTTAAAAAGTTGAAAAGTGGGTCGTGCCCGCGTAGAGCCGCCCTCTGTGTAATGTACTTTCAGTATGATTACAGTTCTGTGAGGAGCTATGGTCGGAGTGTATTTGCTTCATTGTGAAGGACGAGGAGCACGTTGGAGAGGTCAGGGATGAAGTTTTGGAGAAGATTAATGCAGCAATTAACACAGTTATACAAATATGTCCCAAGCTTTAAACATTTCACAGAGCACTGTGCAATCTATGATTCAGAAATGGAAAGGATATGGTACCACTGCAAACTTACCAAGAAATCTTTCAACTTTTAGTGATGTAATCTACTGCCTCTGTGAGCAACAATGTATCGAGTGCCCCATGTCACTGAGCACCTTCTGTACTTTCCATGTTGTTTTCTTTCTCAGTGTCGGTGAGCAATCAGACCCACGTGTTGATTCTGACTCATTTCAGCTGCGCTTTTACTTTATTGCGATATTATGTTATGTTTGCAAGATGAAGTGTTCTCAGTGTTTGGGACACCGTTCTTAAAAAGCCCAGTCCAGCAACTGATACATTAGAAGTTTGTACATAAGAATTTCTTAACACTTTGTGTCATGGTGGACTTGCAAGAAGTTTACTGGGTCACTCAGTTTTGGGACATTGTGACTGATTATCTTCCCGTCTGGTTCTGGTCCCCTGCTCTCCCCTGCTCTCCCCTGGTCCCCTGCTCTCTGCTGTCTAGATTACAATACAGTATATCTATTGTGTGTATTCATGTATTATAATTGTATAAAGATTGTTTTAGGCATTCCTGTATGTCTTTTTTAAACTTTCTATAACATGTTTGCACCATATGCCAAAGCACATATGGTAGTTTGTGACTTCCTGTTATGTCCAATGGCAGCAAAAATAATTCTGAGTCTGCTCTTTTTCAATGGCATCCCACTTGTTTGAATATCAGAACCACACGGATACATCCTCCTTTACTTTCTTAAATGCAGGTTTTGATCCATTTGTACGCTTCTGTAGGCTGGTTTGATATTCTCGTCCATAAGTATACAGTTTAAAGTCTCTTAAATGTTCCAGCGTCTGTTCCAGATGCACCGCTGAGAGAACACTCCAATTGAGGCACCCTGTGTTTTTGTGGAGCTTTTTAGAGCCGCTTGTTATAAAAAGGGTTTTATGCCTCGGTGAAATACATATATACCGTTATAAAAGGCTCTTTTGTCTTTTTCACATTAACAGCACATCACTTACTATAACCATTACTTTAATAAGCATACACGCACATCCAAAAGTAATTTAAGCTTGGATTCATTAAAACATTTCACTGCACTGGGTTTAAATATGTGCTGAATTGTGTTGTGCGTCTTTTTATGATTTCAGTGCGCCAGAACTTTGCTGTGCTGGAGGATGGAGTCTTGGCACACAGTCTACAAGAGCAGGAGAGTAAGTCAAACTATGGAACTACACATAATACATGTATGATTTACAATACAATACAATTTATTCTTGTATAGCCCTAGGTCACAACAGAAGTAATCTCAGAGGACTTAACAAAACCATTGAAATCACCAACACAGGTCAGAGAATCAACAGTTAACACATGGAGAATATAAAGCACACACAGAAGAAAATGTCCATACATGTTGTAGAATGCTAAAGTGTCCTGATCATCACCAATCCTTTCTGTTGGACACTAACTGTCCAACAAGACCCTCCTGCATCGACAAGGAAAAACTCTTAAAAAACCCAGTGGGAAAAAGTGAGAAACCTTGGGGTGAACTAGGGAAACCCACAGGGAGGGAGACCCATTTGAGAAAGGGATCCGCTCCTCCGGACGAACAGGCTAATGATCTAGGACCTAAGCTAGCTACAGAACGTGGACCAGTGGCCGCTGAACGTGGACAGGTCCGGTGCAGGACCGAAGCACTCCCAGGCGGGTCGGGCGGGGCAGTCCGCAAGTGTAGATGGAGGAGGCCAGGTTCAGAGGTCCCGTCATCGTACCATGAAACAGACAATGGGACAACGGGTGAATAGCAATGAAAAAACTACAGTCAAAATCATAATAATGCTAAACAGATAAAGTAGGAAGGAGGAGAGGATAGTGCTCAAGTTACCATACTTCTCCCAGCAAACTGACTCCCTATGCAGCTTGACTGACACTCTGAGGAGTTTAGCCTTCCCTGAGTCTTACCTTCCTAGCCATATACTAAACTAAAGAGGACTGTTTTAAACCTAGCCTTGAATAAAGAGAGCGTATCTGAAAGGAGGCAAGACAGCAGCAGCCACGGCTAGTCTAGTCTAGTTTACAGCACCAAGATTCATTGATTGCACACCAGGTGTGCAAACCGATCCAAGCAAACCTAATTATATATTATATATCATATACATCATATATACCATACATACCATATATATTATATATAATACACAACATAACATACAGCATAATATATAATATAATATACAACATAACACAATACATAACATAATACATATATTGTATAATATATAACATAATACAGCATACATATATAATATATACACCATATATTATACATTACCTAATTATATGCTAAATTAAAGTAAAGTGCTTTAAGCCTGGCCTTGAATGTGGAGACCGTATCTGCTTCCTTAACATAAATGGGAAGCTGATTCCACAGTAAAGGAGCTTGGTAGCTAAATGCTCTGCCACCAACAGTGATTTTTGAGACCTTAGGAACCACCAGACGTCTGGCGTTTTGTGAGCGCAACGCTCGACCTGGTTGATACGACACTAACGTGTCTTGGAGATAAGAAGGAGCCAAGCCATTTATGGCTTTATATGTTAAGAGAAGGATTTTAAACTTTATTCTGTACTCCACAGGAAGCCAGTGGAGTGATTTTAACACCGGAGTTATGTGCTCCCTCCTTTTGGTACCTGTTAAGATCCTAGCTGCTGTATTCTGAACCAGCTGGAAGCTCTTCAAAGAGGCTTTAGGGCACGCTGCCAATAAAGCGTTACAGTAGTCGAGCCTTGAGGTGACAAACGCGTGAATACGTTTTTCCGCGTCACTTTTAGGAAGGAAATTCCTAATTTTAGCGATGTTCCGTAAGTGGAAGTACGCCGTTTTAGTTGCTTGGCTTATATAAGCCTTGAAGGAGAGTTCTTGGTCAAAAATGACTCCAAGATTCCTCACAGTGTTACTGGGTATAATACTGACATTATCGAGAGTAATTATCTGGTTAGTAAGGAAGTCACGCAGGCGCTTCGGACCGAGTAGGATCACTTCTGTCTTCTCCGGGTTGAGAAGTAGGAAGTTAAGAGTCATCCACATTTTAAGGTCCTTTATGCAGGCACTGAGCTTTTCCAGCTGATCTGTCTGATTTGGCTTCATCGACAGATAAAGCTGTGTGTCATCTGCATAGCAGTGGAAATTAATTCCATGCTTTTTAATAATGTTTCCTAACGGCAGCATGTAGAGAGTGAAAAGAATCGGTCCGAGTACCGAACCCTGCGGAACACCGAATTCCACTCCAGAATAAGGCGACGAGTTCTGATTTACGTTGACGAAGTGATACCGATCTGATAAATAGGATTTAAACCAGCCAAGGGCTGTTCCTCTGAGACCTATATCACATTCTAGCCTCTGCAGTAGAATGCTGTGGTCTATTGTGTCAAATGCAGCACTAAGGTCCAGTAGGACCAGCACTGACACTTGTCCATTATCAGCAGCTAGTAGTAAGTCATTTGTGACTTTGACTAGTGCCGTTTCAGTGCTATGATGAGCTCTGAATCCTGATTGAAAGACTTCAAACATATTATTTTCCTGCAGGTGGCAGCGAAGCTGCTCAGCTATACGTTTTTCCAGGATTTTAGATTTGAAAGTTGAGATCGGTCTGTAGTTTGTAAGTATTTCTGGGTCCAGGTTTGTTTTCTTCAGAAGGGGTTTGATTACCGCGGTTTTAAAAGCTTGTGGGACATAGCCACATTGTATGGATGCGTTTATTATATTTACGATAGGCTTAATTATCAAAGGAAGTATGTCTTTGAAGAGCCATGTCGGGACTGCGTCTAACATGCAAGTTGAGGCTTTTGAGGATATGACCACAGAGATCACCTCTGCTTGGCTCACATTTATTCATTTCTCTTCATTTTGGGAGGTTTTGCAGCACTTTGTGGGGGAAAAATTGTGCACTTCTTTATTTCAAACTGGCTATAACTGAATACTGAGAGCTGATTGACTGGGCTTGGGTGGTTACTGTTCCAATGCTAAAAAAGTCTAAAACACACCTGCAGTGGTTTTTAGATCCATCTTTTCTAATATCACTAACTTCTTTGACAAACATGTAACTCTGCCCCTTCTGTCTAAAAGCTCCTGTCTCCGTCCTGTAATATGTCACTATGCCACATCAGAGCCGTGCTTATAAATTTGTTTTGGCAATTTATCCAGTGAAATGACGTTCATGGCTGTGTTTGCAGCTGGTGATTTTTAAATTTGAAAAATAACGAGACAAATTCTACTCCTCCCCCTGTTGGCAGCGCAGGGATGTGGCAGGTTGATAGCATTATTTACCCTCCTACTTGTTTCACCATCTATCTACTGAAGATACTATTTCATATTCTAAAAACATGAAAAGTAAATATCAGTTTTAATGTTGTGTGTAAAATATATATATTCTGGAAAAAGCAAGAAAATCATGTAATGGATGTTGAATATTGGGCTAAATATCACTAGGTCGCTTAACGAATAGACGGAGAGTAAAATCCTGAATTTTGCCTAAACAGCTGTCTGTCCGACTCTCATCAGTGTGTCTTAATGTTCCCAGTTGAACAGTTCTACATGACAAACATCCAAAAGAACCAGTTGGTGCAGAACGACATCCGTGTGGCCAAGAGGCTTCAGGATGAAGAGGAGGAGCAGAGGGAAGAGTACAGCGCCCTCCTTCGACAGACCTCCAGACAAATGTAAGTTATTTTACACAAATGATACTTAGTTTATGCTATGCTTATGTTTTGTGCTATGTGTACTGGGTGCAGCTGACTGCCACCCCCCCGACCCAGAAATGGATTAAGGGGGAAAAAATGGATGGATGGATAGATACTTAGTTTAATGCCATTGGAATCACATACACATGAGTCATTTGTATCAAAGTATGATTTAGGAAAAAAAAATTGTACAAACCCAGTTCTACAACTTGTACTGAAAACATCCAGGCGTGAAATCTATTCATCCGAAAATGATAAAACTTCAGGACAGCGAGATCGACCCTCAGCTTCCTCAGAGTTGGAGCTTATGCAGTGACTTCAAACCACAGACTGTATATATTAACGGACAGAGTCACGCCTATCTCCGCCGTTCTAACTAATGGGCCAAAAAATGTGCTCTACTGGAGCTATCCAAAATGGCCGCGAGTGGTCCCGCCCACAAGAAAATTGTGAAAAAACGCATCTGCGCATGCATCAGCCGGCGCAGCTCCATTCATTTGAACGAGAGACTTCAAAAATTCACAGCAAGTAAACTAGAGTGGACCAAAAAAAGCATTGACACACATGTGGAACGTAGCTTTGGGCCAAGAGCCAACTTTTGGTCCATCCTGTAAAGAAGTTTTCGAGAGGTCTGCCATTGCTATATGTTAGCATTGGCTAATTCTACTTCTGGGTCCACCCCCATCGGCCCGGGGTGGTATTGCAAGCATGTCAGCGCACGTCATTTTGGCCACTTTTGAGCTGGGACCCGCCCCCACTGCTTCTAACATGTGACTATTACAGTCAATCTCTGCCAAACAATAAGTGATGTTTCTATCGGCTTAAGAGATCGATGCAGCTGTGCTAGTTCACCAATTCTTTGGGTTTACCTAATATATGATTGGAAGTGTTATTTTTTTTTTACCTTAAACCTGTGGTGGAAACGGGATATGTTGGTCATAGTTGTTGAGGTTTTCTTGAAATGTAAAGTGCAGTATAATTAAAACTTATTATTATTATTGTTATGGGTTGTGCTCAACAGTTCACCATATTAGTTGGTGATGTCAGGTAAAACATTTTCATATTTTCAAATGATAATATACAGAAATTAGGCAGCACAGGAATTTACAGGACCTCTTTCACCAATGAGAATGGGCAGCTTTACCATCAGAGAGGATAAAGAACCTCATCCATTACTACCATAAAAGACTCCAAGCTGTCGTTGATGTTAAAGGGGAAGTACACTCTATAGAGAACTGGGATCTCTATTGGAGAATTGTGATCAGGGTTAGAAGAAGAGTTCATGTTGTCATTATTGCCCAACGAGTGAAAAAAGTCTTTGCATTCAGTGATATCGTCCGAAAATGAAAATCCGACATCATGCCTTGTCGTGTTGCAGGGAGGAGCAGGACTTTGAATACGCCCGTCTGATCCAGGAGCAGATCCAGAGGAGGGCGGAGGAGGCGCGGCGGAGAGAGATGGACGACCAGGTGAATACTGATCTTTCACTTCAAGCTAATCAATGTAACCCCAGCCCTGAGCAAGTAACGGTAGTAAAGCTGCATTGTGAAGGATTTCGGCCTGTAAAAACACCCACTCCTCTCCCCTGGGTGTCAAGTGTCGGCCGGTAAATAGAGCAGAGTAATGCGCTCGATGAACTACTACAAGGAGGTGTCAAAGGAAATGAAAACCAATTAAAGCCTCGGGCACTGGCTTGTTTTCTTAATGGAGATTACAATGGTATCAACACGTCGCCTTTAGCAAAGTGCATTATTGTATAGGATTAACCAGCACAGGAGAGGGGAATGGAGGTTAGTGCTTGTACCTCTGCATGGTCTCTGGTTTGCACCATGGGTTTTGTGGCATTTAAATGAATCTCCATGGATGATGATTATATTACTAAAGAGCAGGGGTCTCACACCTGGAGCACGCCATCGCCTTCCTTAAAGCCGTCGCAAATTGTCCGCTGAACATTTCAAATGATATGTTTCTAATGAATATAATTATCATAAGTACATTATTTTGGTGGATATTGGATGAATCTGATCTGCTTGGACTTGACTCACCACATTTTATCAACTCTATTTCTTTAAAGACCTTATGACGGGTTTGATTTATTTAGAAATACAGTTTTAATACCATTTTATATTAGAAGAGAACTACTAAAGGTTTCAAAATCAGTTGTTGTTTTTTTTGTCTGATCCCCCCAAATTGAAATAACCCCATAGGAACGCCCTTAGAAACGAAAAAACTTCACAGCCCTTGGTGACGTCAGAACGGGTACGTTTCAACGCTGTAAGTTGTTTACAATTTGGTATTCGTTCTTTTTTCGCGGATATTCAAGATGACAAGGCCGTGTACAGCGAGTCTGACATTACTACTAGATTGTAACATTTTGTTGTCACTGAGATAGTCCAGTGGTTGTGTCGATGGACTACCAGTCCAGATTCTTGGGTTAAAATATAGGATTTTTTTTGCCTGAATCTCTTTCAGATCGACATTGTCATGCAATTTTGATATCCACAATTTTTTTTTTTTAAACCCGTCATAAGGTCTTTAAACCTCTTAGTACAGGGGTGTCAAACTGGTCCTCAAACTCAAAGGGCCTCAAAAGTAAAGGTTCTAGTTAGAACCCGAGCAGGAGCACATCAGACACCACCCATTTCCTCAGATGAGTCCAGTTTTAACTTGAAGATTGTAGGAAATGGGTGGAGTATGGTGTGCATGTGTTGCTTGTAAATGTCATTGTAGATTTCATGTTGCTCTATAGCCTGCGATTAGCCATCTGTATACTCCGGTCAATTAGTATTATTTTATATATATGTACGTGTGGCTCTGATCCTAGTGGCTGCAGTTACCTCGGTTGTATCCCATCCGCCCATTCTGCGAGCGGGGGCGGTGGGTGTTGTAGGTAGTTGTTGGTGACGTCAAGAGTTTGGGCCAAATTTGGTGTTTGTAGTTTTTCAATGGCAGTAAATGCGATAGTAAAGTAATTTGTTCTGGTTTGGCTCCCATTTATCAAGAAATTGAAACAGAGCAAGAGGAATCTAAAGCAAATGTCATTGCTTGCAAAGATGTTGTGGCTCTACTCCCCACGGGCCCGTTAGTGGCAAAGGAGATCGCTAAAGCTAGGCTAAATGCTAAAGCTAGGCTAAATGCTAAAGCTTGGCTAAATGCTAAAGCTAGGCTAAATACTAAAGCTAGGCTAAATGCTAAAGCTTGGCTAAATGCCTCATGCCTCACTTACTCGGGTGCATTGCATACGTCACAGTAAACTCAGATCCAATCTGAAACCACATCTTTACGAAACCACAAATCCCCCTGCACACTGACAGAACATTGGCTTTAGACTCTTGAGGTGTTTGACATAATGGAAGCATTTTCTCATTTGCAAAAACAGTGTGGTCCAGTACAACTCCCTAAACTAACACAGCTCTATAAATGTATTGTCAGAAATAATGGTAAGCCCAAAAGCTTCATAAAACAGCGTGTTACTTTAGCACACAGGCTGATCCTTCACAGTGAGCGCTCTGACTCAGGACGCCGGAGCCTCCAGGCGGACATGTGTTTAATTATGTTTGTGTTGGAGGTGATCTGCGCCGCCGTAATGTTAACTGCACATCCAGGTCATGTGCTGAGGCTAGCTCCATCAGAGGACGAGGAGCTGACGGCTGCATGTGCTGGTGTCATCACTGAAGCTGATGTTTTCACTGATGCTGATGCTGACCATGTGCAAACACCTACTTTTTGCTTTAGTCTTAGGTAGGCTTGGGTTAGGTCCTGGTTTGGTTTTGACCTGGTTTAGAAGTCTTGGTTTTCAGTTGTGGACATGACAATGTCACACAAATGAAAAAGAGCACAAAGAAGAAAATAATGTGTTGACTTAATAACCTAGAATATTATTATAGAAAAATAATGCAAAAGAAGAGCTTCAAACATCTTTCGACAAAGAAAACAAGGGTTTCCTTGGTATAAATGTGTTTCCAAAAACAGTTGTGGCTCCAGCCACAAAACAGCTATTTAAATAAAAAGGACCCCTGATTTAAATAATATAGTTTCCACTTGAATGTTTACATTGGAGTTGAGCAAGTGACGAGGCTAAGTTACAGGTCATATCTGTGGTGAGGTGATCCACTGTAAGCTTTCGGGTTTTCAGTGTTCAGTAAAACATCTGTAATTAAAGCTTTTAAAAGTATTAGAGAGGAACAATCAAAGCATGCGTGGCTTTAACTGGTAAAGAATCAGCATATTACAGTTGGTGGTTGTCAGACTTTTTGTCATTCACACAGTTACTCTGTTATTAGTTCGGCACTTTTTGTGAAATTTAGAATTTCTGCACATAAATCAAAGGCACTGTAGTTTGCTGTAAATGTTCAAAATCAATCAAATTTATTTATAAAGCACAATTCATACAGTGTAACCCAAAATGCTTCACAAGCAACAAAAAAAACCCCATAAAAACAGTGTATATGCATATAAAATATTGTAATAAAAAGTTAAAAGTTACGAACATTAAAAAAATAAATACTTCAGATTAGTCATATGCATACCTGAATAAGACAGTTTTCAGCCTGGACTTAAACATTGCCAGGGTCGAGGCCTGTCATTGTTATTATCAGAGTTCAGTGTTTCTGTTTCTATATTGAGCTGAATTTGAGAAACCACATGAAATTCCTCTGGTTCTTTCCGTGTCCGCTCATAAACCGTTTTTACAACATGTTTTATTATGGATCCTGTTTAATTATTTATTCAATGTTGGCTATTCTTGTGTTGCAGCTTTGTGTAGAGAGGTGTCAAAAGTATAATATTTAGTTATGAACTGCTTGATGCATCACTGAAATCTGTGGCGAAGCCTAAAGTAATGACAGGGCTTTATGGGAGAGGAGTGTTTGGATAAAAACAACTGCAGCTAAGAAACTTCCCAGCTGGAAGGCCGAGTATCATATTTTCCGATGGCTGGCAGTTCCCTCTCTGTCTTCAGAAGGCCACAGTACGACGGTCTGGAGGAAGTGAGGTCACAGGGCTGTAGGGCCATTTATCAAAAGATCTGTTTTGGGAGAAAAGGTCAAAGTCTCAACCTTCAGTTCTCAAACGTCTGAGACAGAAATTCATGTTGTCACTACTGAATACATGGTTACAAATGTTGCTGGTATGTGCTTTTTGTGAACAAAACGAATGCAATTGTTGTACACTCTTTCTGTGACGTTGGCAAAAAATTACGTACAGTACTTTAAAACCAAAACATATTGAATTTAAATGCATTTTCAACATGCATTTGACAAAAGATGTTATTAGACGAGTTGACAAAACTATTCCCACATATTTATTGCTATGATCATACAGTTAGTCTGAACAAATAGAATCACATGTCATGCATTTGAGCAAAAATGTGCAATAATTAAAGTGCAATATGGGACCACATGTGTCCACTGTCTCTTTTATGCTGCTATCATGTATTGTAGTCTCAAAGCAACAAATCAGCTTTGTGCAAAATTGACCTTTCTTCAGACCAAGCATGTGCATTTTTCTCCTTAACTCCATTTGCCATTTCCATTCCTCCCAGAAAGTGTAGTTTATCCTCAAAATGGATATATATATAGAACATATTTGAATTATTGCATACCTGCTGTGAAGAGCCCATGCGAGTCATTGTTTGACTCGTATGGGCTCTTTGCTTGTGCTGGTGGCCCAACAGAAGTGCATGTGAATACTACTGAAGTAACAACGGCTTTGTGACGGACCATAACCCAGAACAAGTTGGTTGAACTTCCTCCTGTTAGCGTTGAAAAGTAACCAGAGTATTAAAAAAGAACCAATAAAACGTTTTACTATTTCCATGACAACATCTCGATCTCTTCCATTTCAAAGAATGGCACAGGTCGACCCTTACCTGGTGCCTGTGGTTTTATAGACTCACACTTCCTTCTCTTCATTAGGCTTAAAGAACACACCAGGTGGCTCTTCCCCAGTCTGGTATACCGCCCCCTGGAGACCATGGTGTGTCAGTGTTGGTGCAAGCAGCTGATGAACGCTCTAATCTGCCCTACCTTTCCTATCGACGGTCAGATCAGAGTGTTGATTAAACCCGGGCCTCCCTGTAGGTTGCGTCTTTAATTAAGCGGCAGAAGGCACCAAGCTGAGCAGTTGGAAATGCCAGATCCCCGTGGCACTGACGCCCATCCTGCCACACAAGCCGCTAATTGTGAGTGCTGATGCTGGAGAAACAGCTGATGCCAGCCTCTGATTAGGACCACGAGCGAGCTGTGTTAGCGCTTTGTTATGATTAATGTTGCAAATGTCGTCCGCAGAGACGTCTTCTCGGATAAAGTCAGGTGCAGAAATGTGCTGCTTTTTCAACTTTTGCAAAAAATCATGACCAAAGGCCGTCACTCAAAAGTCGGCCATCTTGGTAATCACGTATAAATGTGATCTGTTGTTGTGCCTTATTCTTTTTTTATAAATGTAGAAAGGACACAGTGCAAAAGTTATCTAAACACCGGAAATGACTGTTGTATAAATAAAACTAGGTAAAATTGGTATCTCCAAACAAGTTGTAAAACAGCTTCATTACATTCAAAACGCTGCAGCTCAAATTTTGACTAGAACCAGGAAGTACGACCACATTAGTCCAGTCCTCAGGTCTCTGCACTGGATTCCTGTGGCTCAGAGAATAGACTTTAAAACAGCTCTGCTTGTGTACAAGTCTCTCCATGGCCTCGCAGCAAAGTATCTGTGACATGTTAGTACCATATGAACCAACTCGGACTCTGAGGAGCACAGGGACGGGACTCCTGCTGGTGCCTAGAGTCAGGACTAAACGTGGGGAGGTAGCATTTGAGATTTATGCAGAAAAAACCTTCCTGAAAATTGTGTTCAAATCCAGTTCTGTTTAGCCTTGCATACAACTGAGGGATTTCATCTTTACTCATTTTAATGTATGGTGATGATTCATGATTTTAGTGCCTTGTGTGATTGTTTCTATGTTGTTTTGTTCAGCACTTTGAGTTGCCTTGAACTGTGCTTTTACAAATAAACTTCCTTCTCTTACAAAGCTGTTAAAAGACCCTTAGTTCTATTCAATAACCCTGACTTAAATCCTGGTGTGTAGACCTTCCGGCAATATTATAGAAAAATGTGAAGTAGCTTAGTTGGTAGAGGGCATGTCCTCTGACCTGTGGGTTTGCCGTCCGAATCCTGCTCCAGGCTGGCAAGGTGTGAAACAAGCCGCCATTGGTGATTTCTGCCATGTGTCCTTGAGCAAGACACTTAACCCGCCTTGCCCCCTGCGTACACTGGTGTATGAATGTGTGAGTGATTGTTGATCATTAATGTTCTGTGCTTTAGGTATTTGTCCCATAATGGGGAAATTTCAGTGTTGCATCACCAGTTAAGTCTGTCATTTTTGTGGATTTTTCACAAGTGTTGTACATGGCAGTTGTTAGAAAACCAAGTATTATTATTAAAACAGTCATGCTTTTAAGGCAATGTTTTCTGCGGCACCAACCTGTGTGACGCTGTTGTCTTGTTACTGCTCCGCAAACATGAGGAGCAGTCTTGAGTTATTCAGTGATGGTAATAACTTATTTGGTCACTTACAACTCAAATTAGTTTCTCAGTCTACGCTTGAAGAGGTTTGTATAGTTTCCAGAGCAGGACAGCGGTATGTGGAGGAGCTGCCACATTCTCCACTGACAGGGCGCTGGTGTGAATGAGGCAAGCGTGTTTCCATTACCTCGCGCTCACACAGACATTTTTGATATTACATTGTGGTCTTGGGGGTATATATAAATGATTATCTTATTTATTATGGTTTTACAGCCAAGGTATAACAGTCCACTTGCTCCGGACTCTGAAACAGGACTTGCACTGGTGGGTTTGGCAATAGCTTTGAGTTCAGATGGGATTTATCACCTAGCAAGCCAAACACCACCTGGTATAATTGTCAATAATAATGTTTTAACAATTTTCAGTTTTACGATTTAAGTTTAGCTCATTTTAAAGCAGTGGATGGGTTTTCTTCTCACTTCTGTCATGTTGTCATTGCGCCTTGCCCTGTACTGCCACCTGCTGTCAAGAAGCAACACTGAAACCAAAGATGTGTTTTAAATCTGAGGAAAAAAATAGTATCACCTTCATAATTATGGATGTAGAATATTTTAAGTATATTTTAATCCTCTCTTTTCTGGATGTACATGTAAATAAACAGTCCTCTCTCGATTGGTGTCATTACAGGAGTTGGCCAAGCGAATACAGGAGGAGGAGGAGCAGAGGATCCAGAGCAGAGAAGGTACAATATATTTGACTAAACTACACTGCTTTCTTAGTACTGACAACACTTTCACAGATATAGAACAGAATTGGAAAATAGTTTTGAACTCTGAACCTGTCAGAATTTGTTTTTATTTTTATTTATTTTGTATTCAATGCTCTCTAAATTGTAATACTCAACATGCTGAACAAAGAAATTTAGAGAACAAGGCAAATTTAGAGATGACAAGGCATTGATATAAGTCATATCAGAACCAAACGCTGTTTTGAGCATCAAGCACCAATTGCTAGGGCGCAAGGAATGAACAACTCATAACATTTTTTTTCAATAATGAACTATTGATGATTACTGATGTACAGTAGTTATTACATTTCTTTATCCATCCATTGATCTCTGACTCCAGACACACCTACTTGTTTTTAATATATGTATTTGTATTATATTCAAATGTGATCTATTCATGTTGTTTTTGAATATATTTTCATTATATTAATATTTTAGTTGTAATCTGTTCTTGTTAGGTTTAACATGTTAGGTTTTGGTCTCCCTGCACCAGGTTTAACCATCATGTACAAAAGAGATGAAAAACTAACTTAATGCTTTGTGAACCATTTCCCCCAGGAGACTTTTAAAGTGGGCTGCTGTTATCTTGTCCTAATAACCTTTTTTTGTTGTTGTAGCTTTGTACTGTCTTTGTCTTTATGGCCGACAACAAATCCCACATTTGTTGCCTCGGTGCTGTTGTTCTTACTCTGTATGACTAACATTAACTGTCTTGGCCCCTCTTGTGTTGCATGTTCCGCCTTGACTGTAGCCAGCAGCAGTGGCTCAGAGCCCCACTCCCCACACCAGCACCACTCTCCCGTCTCCACCAGGGGGCAGCGTTCTCCCTCTCACCACTCCACACAGTTCGACGGGCCCCCCAGAGGCCTTAGAACTAATCCACGTTTACGGTCAAGTGAAGGACGATCTTTTAGAGATCCCAGAGACTGTCTGAGCGAAGAATCAGAAGAGTCGGATGTTTTCTTTGAGCACACCTCTGCCAGGTCCAAAACTCTGCCTCCTCAACGAGACAGGAACCAAAGGCGTCTTGTCTCACATAGAAGCTTTCCTGAATATGACAATGGCTATGTAAGGGACTGCTCAGAAGAAGACTTTAGTGAAAGAAGTAGGATGACTATTAACAATATGCAAAGTGCTTATAGAGCCAATGGCGAAGGTAGATGCCAGGAGAGGGAGTTGGCTGAGGTGAGGGAGAGACGATGCAGACGCACTGAATCAGTCAGGCTTCCAGAGAGACGGAGGCAAAGTTTTCGTGACGGCCCCGACAAGCACGTACGCTTCCGAGAGGACTCCGGCAGAGCGGACGGGCGCAGGGAGGTGTGGGAGATGCTTGGGCAGGTGCTCCGAGAGAGGGGCGTCCCGGTGAGGCTGGGGGACAGCGGGGCGCCTCTTCAAATAGGAGCAGCTCAAAGGAGAGAGCACAGAGGCAGCCGGCACACGCTGTACGGGAGCGAGGCGTCCTGCAGCGACAGCCAGCCGCAGCCGAGTCGGGCTTTTCAGAGGAACGTCACCGCCAGGCACAGTTTCCATGGAGACGCTGTGTGCCAGAGGAGACGGAGGAGCTCCGTCAGAGAGGAAACGCAAAGCCACGATCGGCCGAACGGGGGCGTGGCGAGCGGAGAGACGGGCGTGAGCAGGGAGAGGCCAGGGAGTAGACGGTGGAAGGAGCACAGGTGCTTACAGTGCATGTACTTAGTTTGGTGGACAGCGGCAGTTTGGGACAGAATATCAAGATAGAAAAAAGGTTGAATTGTGTAAACTTTAAGAGAAAATGCTGATTTTTATATATAAAAAAAAAATAACCTCTTAAAAAACATGCCGATAATTTAGTCTATGAGCTAAAGCTGAGATACATTAAGCCACCCACTATAACTGTTTAAAATAAAATGACACCTGTGATTTTGTCCCAACAGAAATACTTTTATATTTGTACATATACTGTGTACACTATTAACACTCACATACTTGTAAGAAAGAACCCCAAGTCACTATTTGATGCTTTGGGCTGAGATCTGATTTTGACTGTTTAAAACAAGGGATAATAAAGTGCACATTTACATTGATCCCGGAGGAAATCACAGTGGTGCTCATTCACACAGTCTCAGATACACTACATAAGTAATAAGTTGCTAGAATATAATTCAAACGGTACAAAATAATTTAAAACGTCAAAAGTCCAACAAATCGCTTGGCTTGGTTTGTTGCTGTTTAAGTCAGCCAAAACAAAACATACTCTTTCCCTGTTAATAAACCCAAACGGAGACAAAAATCACTTGCGTCAAATATCACTATTGTTATTATTGTTCAGTGTATTTATAAAGCTGCTGCCCATGATCTCCCAAGACAAACGTAACAGTTTCCAGTTCATGTGAAGCTGCAGTGTGAGCGTCTCAACTCTATAGACCCCTGACCTGTGTGTGCACCTTAAGGAATGAGGAATGCAATGCAAACGACAGCAGCAGCAGCACACACGAGAGGCCGGCTCATAGCGGCTCACAGAGGAGCTCAGACCAGTGGGATATAGGGCCACACCAGAGGGGGGCCCCCACCAGGAGCCAGAGCCTGAGGTCCAGACACACTCCCCCCACAGGTAACAGGTAGAACTGCGGCCTGCTCTGATCTCTCATCCTGCTCTTCAGAAACGTCTCCTGAACGCTCTCGTGGTGCTTCTGGGCTTTCTCTCGTGTGGAAATGATTTGATCTTGTGGATGTGATTCATTTGGACTTCATACCAATGCCTAGTGTGTGCTTTCACTGCCAGCTTCAACTCTGATGATGCAGGGGACTGTCAATCAAATAAACTGATGCCTCCTCTTTTACATTGTGTGATTCAAAATTCTGGTTTCTAAACTTTTCTTTCCAACTGTGCGGTTTGCAGAGCTTTGAAGTCCGCTCTGTGTCCGGAAGTCATTAGTCCCATTCATTTCTCATGTTCGAATCATCCAAGAGTTAAAACATTGAGCCAGTTCCTTTCTGTCCTGGCATCATCAATATTCCGTTTGCTTGTTGCCACATTTTAAAACATGGACAATTTGATATTCACAACATAACGCATTGGGCTCAAAACAGTTTTCACTTTTAAATGTAAATCACTAGAAACATGAATGAATGGGATTTTTAGTCTTCCATCTCTGCAGGGAGGACGGTCACTTCACCACAGCTCCTTGGACTGGAGTGGCCTCTTCATGTTTCTGATTTGGATTGTGTGTGTGTGTGTTTTTGTGTGTCTGTGTTTGGTCAGTGCGAGACAGGAGCCGTCTGGAACTGGGGGAACTACAGCAGGTTCTCCACGATGAAGAATTGGCCCGAAAATTACAGGAAGAAGAAGAAAGGGTTTCGAGCAGGGCAAGTCTGAAGTCTTTTGTTTGAACATTTAATTGTGTATTGACTTCTTGGGGCGGGTCATGTGCTATAAATGCACCGTATAATTCTGAGCAGTATTAATAGAGCAGGAGTTTTAGAAGTTTTCCACACGGCAAATATAGTTTCCACCAATGAGCAGCCTCGTTGTTGTTGTTGGGCTTTCTGGGAAGATTACAAGGAAACTAACATCCATCCATCCAATTTCTTCCCCTTAATCCATTTCTGGGTCGGGGGGTGGCCAGAGAGTCCACCCAGTGCACCAATATCCATGTTTAAAATGCTTTGTCTAAATACCAAAGCATATTGAGTAAAATTGGGGTAATAATAATTATATATTTGAAGCTGGGCCTGGGTTGTTTGCTTTCTAATCATTTAAGAATTGAACATTGCTTAAAACGGATTTAATTCATGCACTTTTGAACATAATGTGTACTGTTTTCATAAGTCTACATACGGGTACATGTACATTGCGCTCTAACCTAGCTACGAGATGTGTGCAAAAGAATATATATTATGGAATAAAATTTTTGGATAAAATACACTGTATTTAGTTATATTTATCTATTTTATTTAATTTTTCCCTAATCCAGTTTCTTTTTCTTTTGGGTTGGGTGTATTTTGACTTTAATGTCTTTTGTTAAGTCCAGTTATATTCTAAATACAGTGCTTTTACTTCCAGAACCCTGGGCCTTCAGCGCGGCCTCCTCTTCCTCACCCAGACACTGACTTCAGAGTCGCTCAGGTTGTACAAGACGAGGTACAAGAACGCTCTCTCACAAGTCGTGTAAAGTTCATGTGATTTTTGCATTTCGCTCATAACCGTGTCCTCTGTGCCTGTAGGAAATCGCCCGCTACATCCAGAAACAGGAAATCAAATCCAAGCGGCGTTCTCGAGAGCTGGACGGTCCTGTGTCGTGGCGGGAACACAGAGCGATGATGAGTCAGCATGACCGGAGGCTCCGAGAAAGACAGGTCACTACTGCAAATACTATACTGCAAATACTACTGTAAATACTACTGCATACACTATACTGTGAGATTTGTTACAGTTTCCCCGCACTTGAGTCAGAATGTCAAATCTGAATGATTGTGTTGAATGATGCGATAAGAGCAGGCCACAGCCGGAGCAGGACATGGTCGTGATGTCATGTGGTTAGCAGTGCTGCGGTTTGGCTAATCGCTGTCTTTGATCTGTCTTTAGGAAACTAGGAAATGTTACAAATATGCAGAGTTCAGTCATAGTTACAGAAGCAGGTCAGTCTGTTTGATATTAGTGAAGACGGAACAAATGACTGAGTGTGACGTCACTCTTGATTGGCTTTCAACAAACTCACCCCTACGTTTATCTTACATCTTTTTCATGTCTGTACTTTGTATTGTAGTGGTATTCTCATTCTTCTAACGTTACAGAGGGCCACCTTTTCTGTCTCACATCCATTTTATGAAGAAAAATAAACAAATGGAAGTATAGTGGAAAACAACTTCAGATTCATAGTCTATAACAGGGGTGTTCTAACTAATTTTGGTCAGGGGCCGAATAATAAAAATAGGAACAAGTCAGGGGTTGAAAGAATAGAAGAGATGTTCCTTTTTTTTACATTATGAGGGTATTTTGAGAGTTTTAAAAGAGTTATATTTAACTTGTCATGATGTGTTAGGGAATTTTACCCATCTCGGTAGCCTACAACCATCAATCAAAATCATTTACGGGCCACAAAAACATGTCTTTCGGGCCGTGTTGGGCATGCCTGGTCAATAACAATCACTTAAGAATCTAATCTAAGAATAATCAAAGTTTTTACATCTGTCAGGATGTAAAAACACAGAGCGATGAGTCAGCACGACCGGAGGCTCCGAGAAAGACAGGTCACTACTGCATACACTATACTGCAAATACTACTGCAAACACTATACTGCATAGGCCTTACTGCAAATACTACTTCATAAACTACTGCAAACACTATACTGCAAATACTACTGCAAACACTATACTGCATAGGCTATACTGCAAATACTACTGCATACATACTATACTGCAAATACTACTGCATAAACTACTGCAAACAGTATACTGCATAGGCCATACAGCAAATACTACTTCATAAACTACTGCAAACACTATACTGCAAATACTACTGCCTACACTATACTGCAACTACTGCATACACTATACTGCAAATACTACTGCATACACTATACTGCATACACTATACTGCATACACTATACTACATTCACTACTGCATATACTACTGCTTAGTACAGAAGGCATTGTTCATTTCAAAATGCATACGACAAAAGACCAAAACAATAAACAGGATTACAAACACTCTCTGACTGTACAGACCCAAAAACTCTGACCCTACACCTCAATTCAACTCATTTCTCGTTATTTATGCATTCTTATCAAAGTCTGTTGGTGCTTTGCAAAAGGGAACTCGTTGGAAGTTGCATTAGTTTATAGACGGGGCCCCAAAACAATGTTTTTAAAAAAAAGTTGTATTCTAACTATATACATTCTTAAACCTCGCCCCCGTCACTCTCACTGTGATCGGGGCTCCTCCCCCTTTTCTCCATTCCTCGCACTGAAATACACTTCACACAAACATAGTTATAAATGTAGGCACATAGTTTTAAATGTTTCCTCTGTGTGTGTGATTATGGCGGGCGTTTCTATCAATTCAATTGAAATAACTTTATTTATCCGTGAGGAACTTCATTTGCAGACGGAGCACCAGTGGGGGTACAGAAAACACAAGATACAAAATCCAATCAAAGTGCAGAAATGCAGTATGACATTGCAGAAAGGAAGAGATTGTGATTCTCTGAACAGTGTGAATTATGTATATTGTGAACATTGCTTTGGACTTATTCTTCAGGTCATTAAATCCAACCCACTTTATTTATTTAGCACGTTTTTTCAGTTTCCAAAGTGCTGCACAGAGACTAAAGTAACACATTTGAATATACAGGTTTGCATTAAACATGTAAACAAAATGGAGTAAGTAAATAACATGAAGTAAAAACAGAAACGAAACAGTGATTTTAAAGGCTGTGAGTGTGAGATTGTTTTCAAATCTGAATGATTGTGTTGAATGATGCGATAAGAGCAGGCCACAGCCGGAGCAGGACATGGTCGTGATGTCATGTGGTTAGCAGTGCTGCGGTTTGGCTAATCGCTGTCTTTGATCTGTCTTTAGGAAACTAGGAAATGTTACAAATATGCAGAGTTCAGTCATAGTTACAGAAGCAGGTCAGTCTGTTTGATATTAGTGAAGACGGAACAAATGACTGAGTGTGACGTCACTCTTGATTGGCTTTCAACAAACTCACCCCTACGTTTATCTTACATCTTTTTCATGTCTGTACTTTGTATTGTAGTGGTATTCTCATTCTTCTAACGTTACAGAGGGCCACCTTTTCTGTCTCACATCCATTTTATGAAGAAAAATACACAAATGGAAGTATAGTGGAAAACAACTTCAGATTCATAGTCTATAACAGGGGTGTTCTAACTAATTTTGGTCAGGGGCCGAATAATAAAAATAGGAACAAGTCAGGGGTTGAAAGAATAGAAGAGATGTTCCTTTTTTTTACATTATGAGGGTATTTTGAGAGTTTTAAAAGAGTTATATTTAACTTGTCATGATGTGTTAGGGAATTTTACCCATCTCGGTAGCCTACAACCATCAATCAAAATCATTTACGGGCCACAAAAACATGTCTTTCGGGCCGTGTTGGGCATGCCTGGTCAATAACAATCACTTAAGAATCTAATCTAAGAATAATCAAAGTTTTTACATCTTTCGAGGAACATGAGGGAAAGTCCTCTTTGTCTCTTGTCACTCATCATAAAGATGATGATAAATGTTTGTTGCTGTAAACACGTCACTGCCGCTGTGCTGATACAGAGGAAATCTGATCTGATCTGGCGCCCTTGGGGCGTTCACTGAGGACACTGCTTCTCTTAAAGGGACAGTGTATGATGGCTTTTTTTTCTTTGGCTATTCAAAGCTACATTTTAAAAACTGGCAACTCCAAATGAGAGCCATTTTCTGATTGGATTATCCGTTTGAAAATTGTACACATATAAAAATATTGCGGGCTAATGTCTTTTTACACCTGTGCCCAGCCTGATTCCGCCCACATGAAGATTTGAAAATTTTCTCTTAAAAGGGCGTTGCCTGGAGGACCAGGGGACAAGAGGGGGAGTTAGAGCCGGGCGTGGTCTGGGCTGTGAATGACAGCTCACCAGTCACACAAAAAAACATTGTCATTGCTGCTTAAAGCAATAGTTTACACACCAGAAAGTCTCATTCCTACACACCTGAACCTAATCCACACAATTATCTCAGCAGAAGTGATTGTCAACTCATGTAATTTAAATTTAATCCACTAGATGTCGCCAGAATACTCCAACCTGCTGCTGGCATACCAACTCACGTCACACAGTATTAGAGTCAATGAAGAGGCCAGGACCAAATTCAAATGTAGTACCACCGAAAAGGTTTAGAGGGCGCCACACAGACGTTTTTAGGCTCAAAAGTGAGATTTTATCTAATCTGCACTAAAATGTCAAAAAAATGACTAGGACATGTAGAGAGCACTACAATAAACATATTCATGCAGTTTATGAGTTAAAAAAAGTTGATTTGGTCTTTATTTTGGTCTTTAAAGGTCCTATATCACGTTTTTCTTCATGTTTCACACTCAATCCTATACACATGTGTGATATTAATGTGTGTGATACACCACACAACAATCAAAGCTTGTGAGATTAGAGCCATCTCTTGTATAGAGGTGACGTCACCTCGACTCAAACGAGCTGATCCAGAGAAGAGTCTGCTCCTCTGCCTGTGAGCCCGCCTCCCCCCGCCCGCACGGTGACGTAGTCACTGGTACATAGTCATTTCAAACATAAGAATAAACTTTTTCCAATGACAATCCGTCACATCGAGCCCTATGTCCTCGATGCACAATCAGACCCTAGTTATTTAGTTTACAGAAGTATACAGCGAGTTAGCGTCACTACTTACAGATCGAGGGGGTCCGAGTTACGTCTTTTACCGTGGGAATAACGTGTTTCCAGATCAGCATACTAATTGTGTATTGTTTACCCCGTTTTGACAAAAGTATTTAAAAACTATTTTAAATACAAAGCAAACGGGGTCATGCGCGTCATCAGTATGGTTTTCGTCACTGAAGTGGACCCGAGCGTTTCTGTGCCTCACGCTGGGGAAGGAGACAGATCGCTCTCTTACTAAAGATTGACAGAATCAATGAATAAACTACTGTGGGCTTGTGTATGAAGGCCAAATAGCACTGTAATCATGTTTAAAGCAGAGAAAAGTCAAAAACCGTGATATGGGCCCTTTAAGAATACATGTGACCTGTTACATAAAAGGAATTTTCTGGAATATTTCCTTGAGGTCGAAAACTACAGGGAAAGTTTGTGTCAGCTGCTGAGTGACTGGCTCATTTCCAACTAAGAAAATATTTAAATCAAAAGTGAAATGATTCCAGGATCAGCACATGTCTCTCCACGTGTCTAAACAAGAGTGTCCTGAATGCGGTGTTTTGCTTGTGACACAGGTCCCTCGTGAAAGACTGGATTCTGAGGGTCTGCCGTCCCCCTCTGAGGACTGCCCCCCCGAGGATCAGCCCAGCAGCCCCGCCTCCACGCTGCCGTAAGTCACATGACCCTGTTACCGCGCTCTCACAGCTTTCCCCCTGGAGAGTTACTGCCTCAGGACGAACTACTGCCTCAGGACGAGCTACTCCTTTATTTTACTGATCAAGAATTTATACTTATTATGCCAGATTTTATTCTTAATTTGCTTCTTTATTCTGCTAAAGTTGGAGATGTAATTTTATATTTAAATCTTTTTTTATTGGTTTTTCTTCTTTCTGCACATACAGACTTCAAGGACGGTAAATAAAGTCAAGACAATATTTCTAACATTAGCCTCCTAGGTCCTGACCTCTAATCCATGATCAAAAACTTATTTCTAAAGAAGTAGAAAGAAGAACAGCCCCCCTCCCGCCCCTCCTGCCCCTCCCGCCCCACCCCTGCCGGGAGAAAAAAACAAATAATAATAATAATGACTTTATGTAAATATGTATATATACAACTATCTGTATAAAATTACATACATATGCATGTATGTATGCAGAGTTATTGGTCATTTACAAAATGCGAAAGTATTTGGCCCCCTTGAACTTTTCAACATTTCGCCACATTTCAGGCTTCAAACATAAAGATATACAATTTTAATTTTTTGTCATGAATCAACAACAAGTGGGACACCATCGTGAAGTGGAACAAAATTTATTGGATAATTTAAACTTTTTTAACAAAGAAAAAACTGAAAAGTGGGGCGTGCAATATTATTTGGCCCCTTTACTTTCAGTGCAGCAAACTCACTCCAGAAGTTCAGTGAGGATCTTTGAATGATCCAATGTTGTCCTAAATGACTGATGATGATAAATAGAATGCACCTGTGTGTAATCAAGTCTCCGTATAAATGCACCTGCTCTTTGATAGTCTCAGGGTTCTGTTTAAAGCGCAGAGAGAACCATGAAGACAAAGGAACACACCAGGCAGGTCCGAGATACTGTTGTGGAGAAGTTTAAAGCCGGATTTGGATACAAAAAGATTTCCAAAGCTTTAAACATCTCAAGGAGCACTGTGCAAGCAATTATATTGAAATGGAATCAGACCACTGCAAATCTACCAAGACCCGGCCGTCCCTCCAAACTTTCATCTCAAACAAGGAGAAGACTGATCAGAGATGCAGCCAAGAGGCCCATGATCACTCTGGATGAACTGCAGATAACTACAGCTGAGGTGGGAGAGTCTGTCCATAGGACAACAATCAGTCGTGCACTGCACAAATCTGGCCTTTATGGAAGAGTGGCAAGAAGAAAGCCATTTCTCAAAGATATCCATAAAAAGTCTCGTTTAAAGTTTGCCACAAGCCACCTGGGAGACACACCAAACATGTGGAAGAAGGTGCTCTGGTCAGATGAAACCAAAATCAAACTTTTTGGCCACAATGCAAAACGATATGTTTGGCGTAAAAGCAACACAGCTCATCACCCTGAACACACCATCCCCACTGTCAAACATGGTGGTGGCAGCATCATGCTTTGGGCCTGCTTTTCTTCAGCAGGGACAGGGAAGATGGCTAAAATTGATGGGAAGATGGATGGAGCCAAATACAGGACCATTCTGGAAGAAAACCTGTTGGAGTCTGCAAAAGACCTGAGACTGGGACGGAGGTTTATCTTCCAACAGGACAATGATCCAAAACATAAAGCCAAATCTACAATGGAATGGTTCACAAATAGACATATCCAGGTGTTAGAATGGCCAAGTCAAAGTCCAGACCTGAATCCAATCGAGAATCTGTGGAAAGAGCTGAAGACTGCTGTTCAGATTCAGATTCAGATTCATTTATTGGCCATGTGCAGTATAAAAACTACATTGGAATACATTTGCAAAAAGAGGTACTCTGTGTGCACCGACAGAATAAAAAGCACGATACAATGTAATATAAATACACATACACTGAATATAAAATAATAAAAAAACAGCTGACACTGTGGCACTGATCCACAAAACAATACAAGGGGTAAAAGCAGGAATTAAAGTGCTCTGTTTAGGCACCTAACAGCTTGTGGAAAGAAGCTGTTAGCATAGCGAGATGTCTTGCATCTCAGTGACCGATATCTTCTGCCAGAGGGAAGAAGCTGGAACATGGCTTTCCCAGGGTGGCCAGAAGAGTCACCGATGATTTTAAGAGCTTTGTTTAAAAGTCTGGATTTGTAAAGAACCTCCAGAACAGGAAGCTCACAGCCCACGGTCCTCTTTGCAGAGCGGAGCACCTTGTTTAAAGCTCTCTTTTCTTTATCTGTGATGTTTCCAAACCACACAGACACAGAACCAACAAGTAAACTCTCAATGGTGCAGCGATAAAAGTTAAGCAGAATCTTAGAGTTAGTGGTAAATTCTCTAAGTTTCCGCAAAAAGAAGAGCCGCTGACAAGCTTTCTTAACAATCCGGTCAGTGTTTTTAACCCATTTCAGGTCGTTAGACAGAGTTAAACCCAGAAACTTGCACTCCTCTACGATCTGTACCTGGGAGTTATCAATAACAACAGGAGTGTGAGAACTGCTACGACTGAAGTCAAAGACAAGTTCACATGTTTTTGCAGTGTTCAGCTGGAGATTGTTTACTTTACTCCACTGAAAAACATGTTCGATCTCTGCTCTATAAGAGGAATCATCATTGTCACTGATGAGACCGATGATGGTGGTGTCATCAGCATATTTGATGATCAGATTTGAGTCAGAGGAGGACACACAATCGTGAGTGTACAAAGTAAAAAGCAGAGGACTCAAAATACATCCCTCACAAACGCTCTCCATCCAACCTCACTGAGCTTGATCTGTTTTACAAGGAAGAATGGGCAAGAATTCCAGTCTCTCGATGTGCAAAACTTTTCAGTTTTTTATTTGTTAAAAAAGTTTAAATTATCCAATACATTTAGTTCCACTTCACGATTGTGTCCCACTTGTTGTTGATTCTTGACAAAAAAATACATTTTTATATCTTTGTTTGAAGCCTGAAATGTGGCGAAATGTTGAAAGGTTCAACACTGTATCTTGTTGTCCTGTGTCAGATTTCTCTTGTTTTTTTCCCACTGGGTTTTTTTGAGTCATTTCTTGCAGATACTGTACAGGACAGTTAAGGACAGTTTATACACATCTATAAACACTGGTCATCCTGCTCCCTCTAGACCAATGGCTCCTATGTGTTTGTTGATATTGCATTTCCTGACTTTGAATCTCTGTTTTTGGTGAATAAACATCCTTCGAGACATCCGTTACTGTGATTTATGGCTATACAATAATATAGTCAATTCACTTCGTCATCACATTATTGTTACTAGTGCACAAAGAAACGATAGCTGTGTTATATTAGTGATGTTTGCAGAGAGATGATGAGCGGTCTGTATCCTGGTGTTTCTGAACAACACACATCTGCAAATCAAACAGGACTTATTCTTGACATTTATATTGGCCCATTGTTATTGCTCTGGTCTGTTTTGTACCAATGACCTCGTGGTGTGTGGAGCCGGCTGACTGCACATGACCCTATAGCACAGGTACATATTAAAGGTGATGTCCCCGTCTCCAGGCCTGGCTCGCAGATCCGGAACATCGCGGAGGAGCTGGACCCCACGTTTCAGCTGCGAGGCCCGGAGCCCCTCAGAGAAGCACAGACGGGTGAGGACCTCTGCTGATCTCACTGCAGACTCCACCCACCTCAGCAGTTCTTTGTCATTGTTTAATCAGAATCAGAAGTATTTTTATTGCTAAAGTTACATACTAGGAAGTTGCTTTGGCATGTATAAAATAAGAATCTAAGAATCATGACATTTCTTAATATTACTACAATAAGTTTACAACCATCTTTTATGGATGGTTGGATGATCAAACAGACGAACCACACTTCTTCCTGTTTTTAGTTTTTTTTCTCTAGATTTTCCAAGAAACGCACATAAACGCACGCACACACACACACGTGTCCAAAAATGATTGTTTTGAAATGTTTTGTTTATCAGAATTTTAATTGTTGAGCTGTTGTGTCATTCCAATATAAACATGTACAGTATATCTGTCCATACCAGTAGCATTTTTTTATTATTATTGTGAAAATGTTTTTGTTCATGTAATGCTTTTTGAGACTAAATGTCGGTGTTGCCATGTCTCCAGTGAACTCTCCTCTGACCCTGTTACCCTCCGCACAGGTTCCCTCTGTGCCCCCCTCTGTGCCCCTCTCCCCGCCGCTCACTCGGGGCTTCTGGAAGAGCCCACCTTTGTCCCTCCCACCAAGAGACAAGGAGAGAAACCAGTGCGTCCCAAGGCCAAAGAGAAGAGGGAGAACTGCAAGCAACAATAAACATTTGCCTCTGATTCCACATGTGCGACTTTGGAGCAGTGGTCCCCAACCTCCGGTCCCGGCCACAAGGGAAGAATAATTAACCTGCGTTATTATCAAGAGAGCTGAAGAGTATTCACAAGCTACAAATGAAGTGTTAACAACGTGGCGTCTGTGCGCAGCTGTACGCAGGGACAAGGAGAGTACCTTCATTAACAGCCGCTCAGTGGAAATGTAGACTGACAATAAACTGGTTCTTGGCAGTAAAAATGTTAGGGGCCACTGCTTTAGAGCGCGGGAACAACAGGAACAACACTACATCCTCTGGAACAGGAGCGTGCACGGAGGACTTAAACTGAGTAAATAATACATGAAGAAATGTACAGTATGCTCCATGATTATTCAGATTCAGTACAAATGAGATTGAAATGTATTATATTTATATCTGTTGTTTGTGATCAAAGAAAAATATCCTTATTATTGTTAGATTATTCGCAAAATAAATGATATCCTCATTTGTAGTGATGGCAATTTGACAATGTGAGATGTTCAGGTAGCCTGAACTAGTGTGCTAGATGCAAAAAAGTGCACAATATGAAAAAATAAAGAAATCTTCACAGCTATGTAGCTCCCAAGTGTGTTTTTATTATCAAAAGACCACGATAGAAGAGATGCTTCGAGCCAAAGCCCTTCATCAAACATAAATGGGTTTATGTGCATCCATGGGAAGAAGGACTGAAACGTCACTCCTTGTCTGTAAATAAAGACACTTGGGAGCTACATATCTGTGCAGATTATTTTTTTGACAATGTGGACATGTAATTATGTAGTCATTGTTTTGTCAGTTTCTGTCCTCCTTAGACAGTGCTGCTTGAATTCATCCTCATGATGTTCTGTGCTTGTTCTGCTCTCACATGTATTTGCTGAAGCTACACCCTGACAATCACATGAACAGTTTCAACAGTATCTGTTATGTCGAGCAAAGTTCAAAGATCAAACCATTTTTACAGAAATCACTGACAAAGAGCTGCACGTGTCGACAAGTCACTTTAGGTCATTATTATATTCTGCAGTATTTACTGTACTTAATAAGAAACGTCAGCCGATGTATGACATGTATTTGTACTTTTTATTTCATTTATAAAGAATGCTCTTGCTTTGCTACCACAATCTGAGGTCTTTTTTTTGTTAAAATGCCCTTTCTTTCAAATTGACAAGTTTACATACACTTTGGGTTTACACTCCAAAAAGTGATACAAATCAGTGGTTTTTATCTTAATTTGAGAACATTCTGACAATTGGTCTTAGTTCAAGAACTGTTGCATTTTGTTTTGTCCCATTGGCAAATCATGTTTTTAGGCTGTCAATGTCCTCAAATTCTAGCAATTTTTCCTCAATTTTTGCAGTGTAATCAGTTATGTGTAAGAAAAAAAACAGTATAAAAATACAAGTAACAAATATAATAACGAAAGTAACTCTTGTACAGTATTTAAAAAAACTACACTAACTTTATTTAAAGCTAACGCAATAGAAACCAACTATACAATGATACAAAGGTCAGTGTGTCACATTATTCAGAGTAAATGTCAAACATTGCGTTAAAGGTGAGTCTTTTCGAAACCGCTGCGAGTGACTCAGTCCTGATACTGTGACGAGTCCCACTCATCATCACAAGAACAAAACCTCATCAAGACTTCACCGTGTTGTTGTGAAACTCCATCGAGACTTTTAAATCCTCATCTCAAGTAGTTCTGAATCATCCACTCTTGAGAAATCCTGTTTATGTTTTTGGGTTTATTTTTACAGCATGTCCCAGCTCGTCCCAGCTCGTCCCGGTCCCGTCAGAGAGGCCTCAGAACAAAATGCTCTACTTAATGTTAACCACCACCCTCACACGTTGGAATGTCCCTCCTCTGTCCTGGACCAGACACAGTGCGGTCAGACAACAGCCCCCCTCACACTCTTTAGTGCATGAGGTGAAGGAAAAACAGGACGTGGGCTTCTTAAAGAGACACTGCTCCCACTTGTAGCACTGAGTCAAAGCCGTCTGAGGTCACAGTATCCGCGTGGGTTTTATCAACAACCTCCTTAAGCACCATTGTTGTCGAGAAGAAGTGGCATTCCCCTCATGTCTTATCGGCTTCTTTCTGGTCGTTCCGTTCTGACCTGAATAGGATTATAAAAAAGAGGGAGGAAACTACGCTGAAGTTGTTGTAATAAATCAAAAAGCGATCCTCCGGCTTCACATAACTTAATCCTTTTGAGGAAGGCTCTGTTTCTTTTCCTTGTAAGCCCAAAATAAAAATAGATCACTGTCCAGGAAGTAGAGATTCAGAGCTGCGTCCCTGTTCCTGCTCGGCTTCGTGGAAACTGCACTCGATGGCGATTAAAGTCTGTGGCTCATCTGCAAAAGAAAGAGTCTATTGTAAAAAGCAGAAGTCGTCCGTCAGCAGAAAAAAAAATAAGAGTGATTATGGTGAAGGAAAAGATTAGTTTGGAGTCTGGGTTTGGGCTGAAAAGGCAGAATAATAGCAACGTGTGATATCTGCTTGTTAATCTTTGGCTCCTGATTCCTAGTATACTGGACAGTCAGGAGCCAATCAGGAGCCAATCAGGAGCCAATCAGGAGCCAATCAGGAGCCAATGGGACGAGCCAAAATCCTTCTCCAGATCTGAAAGTTCTTTGGTTGTTTGTAACTGAACTGGAGTGAAACAAACTCATTCACAGAGAGTTTGTTTTTGTTTGTTGAGTTTGTTTGTGGCATAGTTAAGTTCAAGGATGCATTATCAATTCATATGGAAACGACAACAAAATATGCTGTTTTTATCTTTTCAAGTTAACCTTAACCGTAATAATGCTTTGAATGATGACTGCATTTCCTCTTCTATCTCAAATCTTCTTCTTCCTGTCGTCGTGGGCTGATTGTCACAAGTGTGGGAGGGTACATTTACAAACTTTCTTGGTTTTTACATAAGAAAGATTCCCTTTTCTGTGCGTGTCTGTAACCACACCTTTTGAGAGTTCCTATTGACACATTTACACTGCAAAAAGTGATTAAATATAAGCACAAAATTGCCTAAATTTGGCAAAATATATCTTATTTTGAGCCCATTCTGACTGCCTTCATAGAAGATTTGCCAATGGGACACGCAAAATGATCTTGTTTTTAAAAGAATACAAGAAATGTCTCCCAGAAAAATGAAATGAGACCAAAGGGCTTTGTCCCATTGGCAAATCTTGTTTTAGGACAGTCAGAAAGAACCCAAACTAATTAAAGCACCAAAACGGAGAGTTGATTGGCAGAAACGGGTATGACTTTTTTAGAGATTTCATGACACTTTGAAGCAACTATGGTGAAAGTTAATCTCCTCTTTCTTCTATGCACGAGGCAGTACATTTCCACTACTTGTTTTGGTTTTCTGAAGGCCAAGCTACTGGCATCGTGGCGAATGCTGATTGGACGGTTCGTGCCTGTCTACCATCAACAATAAAACATGTCTTCGGTCTGAATTAAAGACACAATCCCAGAAGTTATTAAATTGTATTTAAAGGATTTGCTCAAGAGGGGGCGAAACTTTATCTTTTCAAACATGCTTCTAGTGGCTCTTTTTCTGATTTAGCAAATTAACTATTCAAATCCTCCCCTAGCTTTGAGTGATGTTGCTCACAGACAAACACTAGTGATTACATTACCTCCTGGGTGGATATTTGAACAGAATCCTGGTTGTCGGGATGGAAGTGTTGCCAGTTTACTCATTGTCTAATGTGCTGGAAACACTCCATTATCAAATACAAAACAGGTTGCAATGCCTATTCCACTTTTGCTCTGAACATTGAAGCATATCTCGAATTGTGTTGAAACTGATTCTCTGATCTGCTGTTGAGGAATCGACAACATTGTAAAGGCATCTTTTTTGGCCTATAAAAAAAACACATTGAGTTGAATTTACCTGTGATTATCGGGGGCTTTTTCACTGCAGTCTCGGGCTCCGGCCTCTGTGTCCTCTGCTTCTGTTTGATTTGTGTTATCGCCATGACGATGATCACAATCAGAAGAGCGGGAACGACCACCCCAAACATTGTGTACAGGATGAAAGACAGACCGTCTGCGGACTGCTCCTGACTGGGCTCTGCAACCACACCATCCACAACACACTCTTCGCAATCAGACTTATTTTATTGCTATTGAAGTCCCAGGAAGTCCCAGGAAGTCCCAGGAAGTCCCAGGAAGTCCCAAACTAAGAATATGGTCGGCACTAGATCATATACGGAATCGGGACAAAACCGGAAGTTACAATCCTACTTTCGAATTAGTTTTAGACTAATAAGTCCTTAAATGGTGACTGGTTAAGTTTTAGGCGTCTGAGTAAGATGGTTAAGGTTAGGGTTAAGGCTGGGTTGGGGTTATTTTATGGGAATGGCTGGTTAAGTTTAGGCATAAATAGGTAGTTTGTTGTATTTACTTCTGCTTCCGTCCCGATTCCGTATGATCTAGTGCTGACCCTAAGAATATGCTTTGGCTCAAGGTACAAACAGGTTTTATCAGTAAAAATGGTTATACGGCATACATTAAAAAAACTTACACCATTGTTACACTGTAAAATTACAGGTGTGCATATGTGTGCAAATGTGGCTTTAAAACAGTCACATTAAATGAAAGACATATTGGAGAATTTTAGGAGAGACAAAACAACAAAACAAAACCGTCTGGTCTTTTTTGACGAGCACGAGAATGATTGATAATTAGGAGGACCAATAGTCTTGATGATCCACCCGGAAGTAGAAAATCCTCCTTCATACCTTTAACAATGCCATGATAAAGCTGGGGTACCTCACTTTCTTGTTGCATAAATATTACACGTTGTTTAAGATAAGATCATTTTTTATTCATGGGGAAATTTCAATGTCATCGTTGCGCACATTACAGCAAAGTAAAAGAGATCGCACACAGAGATAAAATAAATAAAATAATAAGATCATAACATGAAAAACTCTGGAGCTATAATTACTGTTTATTTGTTCTGACAAAAAGAGAAATGGGAACAGATCAATTGAAAGTTGGGGACACCAGCTTTAACTCGCTTTTGTCATAATGTTTTGTGGCTTTACTAAGCTCGTACCGTTGGGCCCCGGGACGACCACCGGCAGGGCGGAGACGTTCCCACATCTGGCGTCGCTGAAGGCGTCTCCGTGTTTCACCGTGTTTTTGTCACACCTGAGGAGAAAACATTATTATTGTTTTTAGTGAGTGTGAGGCCAATCCCAGAATCCAACAGACATGTCTCTGTGTGTGTGTGTTTGTGTGTATGTGTGTGTGTGTGTGTGTGTACAGTGTTGTACACATAGACTGTAAATCTTTAAAGTGATTGTCTGGAGTTTGTCAGAAAGAGAGACAGAGAGGTACTTGACTTGAAAAAAACGACGCAAGCTCCCTCCCCCTCCTTTCTGATTGGTCTACACCTACGTTTCCGTAACACATTTAAATGTTAATCAGAGAACACATTATACATATACATTATTAATACACATGCATGGAGGTTTTCAGAATCATTTGTTAACGTTTTAATGAAAAAAATTATGTTTTAATGCAATTTCCGGAAGTAACTATCATCATGAATTGAACATTATAGGACACATCTGCAGAGGACTGATTATGGATATAGGTTCAGTATATAAATGATTATGGATATAGGTTCAGTATATAAATGATTATGGATATAGGTTCAGTTTATAAATGATTATGGATATAGGTTCAGTATATAAATGATTATGGATATAGGGTCAGTATATAAATGATTATGGATATAGGTTCAGTATATAAATGATTATGGATATAGGGTCAGTATATAAATGATTATGGATATAGGTTCAGTATATAAATGATTATGGATATAGGTTCAGTATATAAATGGGTAACTCAGTGCGGATGTTCAAAATTCTTTTCATGAAGCTCCAGAGCCTATAAAGGCTTGAATTGGAGGCTCCGTGAAAACAAACTGAGCATGTGCGCAGCTATGAGCATCGGCGCAATGATTGACAGCCCTTGGCATCACTTGATTGGTTAAACTGGACGGCATCGTGGATTCTGAGATAAGAGAAGGGAAGGCGGGACTTACCCATAACACTGGGTAACAAAAAAATATTTTTTGAAAATAGTCCAGGGTTTTCCAGCTGAATTAGACTAATTTTGATGCTCTGAGTCCGAAAATTACCTTGGTTTTGCTCAATCAGGTCAGGATTCTTTGCTACAGAAATATTTTTTTAAATCAATTTTGTGTAAAAAACATTTCTGCGGATCATCAGCTGAGAAACCCTTGACGTTTTTTCCGTTTTCCTCAAGAAATAAAAGTCTGCGTATCCAAAGTCATTCAGTTTTTATTTACTCCATCAAATTTGATAAGCAGAATTCATAATAACGTAGACGTACATAATCCGTAACACTATGGCTGTATCTCAAAAATTTGACCTGATAGAGCAAAATGCATGTGATATTCGGACTCAGAACACCAAAATTAGTCTAAATCAGTTGAGAAACTCGTGACCATTTTTTGGCTGTCAACTTGTGTAATATTAGAATTAATAAAATAACAAAATAATTTTATATCTTTCATTTAAAGCCAAGAGGTCAATTTAATACAATTCTTAAAATTAGTAATTCATTTAGAGTTCCAGACTATCACTTTAAACTCAAAATCGTGAGAAAAAAAAGCTTTTACATTTTATTTGAAAGTAAGAAATGGAGAGAATCCAACCTGGTCCATGGTTTGCATTTGTGGTGAGTCTGATCGTTGTACGTCCCCTGAGGACACGGCTGGCACGCTCCTGCACACAACAGGTCAGTGAAGATTACTGTCAATATTGAGCTAGAAATACAGATAATCAGGATCAGAGTTATTAGTATTGCCACTGTGGCAGGAGGAAGTCGCAAACTAGGAAATGACTTTGGCAGAAAAACTAAAAATAGAATAAGGCCTGCATGAAAACACAATACAAAATCTACATAATATTTATTAGTTACTACTATATGCAAGTACACACAATAGTACACGCAATAGACATTTGGCAGTGCAGTAAAGTGATACCATAAATACCAGAAAGACTTTGATTTTAACAGTGTGTCTTATATTCTGGTGTTTACAGAGCGAGCTACATTTTTATAACTGACTGGTTTTTTTTTTACAAATATTTGTGAGACCGGGTTCTATGGGGTTGAACTGATAAAGTTGTTGGTGATTGTGTAGGAAAAGTCTAAACTGTGATAGTGGGCACAGAGTGAAGATATCTCTGCAGTGAAACCATGTGTACAGTATAAAACCTGTACAGTTTTGCCATGGATCTATAATAATAACGAGTTTTGCAAATGAAACATGTTCTCACGTTGGCCTGTGGGCTCCTGTCCTCGGCCACACTCCTGGACGCAGAAGGAGCAGCTTTTATCTCCACATAAGAATCCTTCTCTGCAGCCGCACTGTGTGTCCTGGTACGGGCTGCAGCTCCTCTCCAGCACCTGTGGATCTGCACATTTCACACACCACACACACTTAGATTAGATTTCAAATTAAAGTCTTAGAAAGGCTTGAAGCGCATGCGAGCGGATCATATCAACTTTTCTCAGAACACAGTCACTGAGATTCTACCCACAAATTTGCCAAATATTGTTCAAATTTCTTTCTCAGTCCTTCCTGATGGTAGAGGATGACATTACCAGAGGGATGTGACTGGGCCTGAAATATACTGTAATAATCTCTGTTATGTCAAACGTGTGAGTTTCCCTCTGCTGATGTCGTTAGTTCCACTGTGAAATACTTCCTGGAAAAACATAAAAATAAAAATCCAAATGTTCTTTTAAAACTGCAGCTTCATCAGTGTGAAACTAATCCACTATTCACTATGAGTATTTATGAGTATCAATGAAATCATGCGTCTCTCTATGAGTCTAAAATCATAATAAGCTTTAACACCACTACACATTAAACATTAAACATCAGTATTTGCTGATTGGCTGAGTTAAAGCAATAGAGCTGAGGAGGGTGGTTTGAAAGTCAGGTGCCCCAGCTTTAACTAGTTAAATTTGGAACTATCTTTAATACATTTTAGCTATTGATACTCACTTCTCAAAAGAAAATCTTACAAACTCAAACAGGAAGACAAAAACAACAAAAACGACAACAACAACAACAACTGCAAACAGACCAAAACAAACAGCTGCGTCTATGAAGAGTAACGTTAATATCGGATAATAGAATAGTAAAGTGATAATAAAACATACATGCATGATACATACATGTATACATACTGATACATACATATATACTGTTACATACATGTAAACTGATACATACATGTATACTGATGCATACATGTATACTATTACTGATACATACATGTATACTGTTACATACATGTATACTGTTACATACATGTATGTATACAAATATACTGATACATACATGTATACTGATGCATACATGTATACTGATGCATACATGTATACTGATGCATACATGTATACTGATACATACATGTATACTGATTCATACATGTATACTGTTACATACATGTATACTGATGCATACATGTATACTGATACATACATGTATACTGATGCATACATGTATACTGTTACATTCATGTATACATACGAATATACTGATACATACATGTATACTGATGCATACATGTATACTGATACATACATGTATACTGATGCATACATGTATACTGATACATACGTGTATACTGATGCATACATGTATACTGATGCATACATGTATACTGATGCATACATGTATACTGATGCATACATGTATACTGATGCATACATGTATACTGATGCATACATGTATACTGTTACATACATGTATACTGATACATACATGTATACTGATGCATACATGTATACTGATACATACGTGTATACTGATGCATACATGTATACTGATGCATACATGTATACTGATGCATACATGTATACTGTTACATACATGTATACCATTATATACATGTATACTGATACATACCTATGCACTGCTTGCAGCGCTGGCACCTCTCTGCTGTGGAGGAGGAGGTGAAGGTCTCTGCTTTACAGGGGGTGCACAGGAGCCTGGGGTCCGGGCCACAGCGAGACACCAGGCGGTGCCCTGTGATGTCACAACAGTTAAAGCCGTCTTTAAACTCACAGAAGTTACAAAGTACAGCTGAACCTCACAGGAGAATATCTCATCACATTAGTTTCATTTTAAGTTGAAATACAGAAATACATTTTGTTTCCCAGAAATGTTCTGTGAATTATGAACTTCTAAAATCAAAGCATATCGATCATAGTGACACACTGAAGTGTATAACATTTAGTTTTTTTGTGTTCATCGGACTTTTACAAACTAACTTTTTCTGTGTTAACTCGAACTTTATTGTTTGGTGTTTGAAGAAAAGAAAGTAACATGATCAAAACGGAAATACATTTAGTTATAAAATGAAATAAATTGTAAAATAAGCAGAAATAAAAACATTCATCCACCTTCATATAATTCTAATTCTTCTACTTCTTTAAAATATTATTGTTATTAGGTTGTGTAATTTTCCTGTTAATAATTGTAATAAGTTTGGGGAGATCATTTAAGTATAATGCCATATCTCCATTTGTGAGTCACGGACACACCTTTAGAATGTATTTGTATAATGATAATAATTATGCAGTAACTGTGATTATTCCCACAGTCTTATGATAATTATGTTTTTTTTTTTTTTTTAAACAACTTCCCCAAAAGACAAAAACTAGTCAAAAGTAAGAAATGAGTGATGGTTCCATTGAGTGTGTGATGTGGGATGCCTTAAAAACCACTGAAACTTGACTTTTGGTTTAGCGGCGTCAGAGGAGGATAGCATTATCTCGTCAGCAGAGCTATATCAGGTTTCTATGGAAACGGCCTCAGACACAACAGCTTCACACCTGCTGCTCTCATGTTTCACTTTTAATTAGTTCTCATTATTATCAGGGTTTTATTTCATATAGTGTTTCATTTTTGTCTTTGTTGAAGCGCCGTATATTATCGTGTATTTTGTGTTTCCCAGACAGAGGACTAATGCAAATACTCAAAGTGATAAAAGAAAATCATTATTAACATTTTTAGTGAATGTTACTTTTCGTTGTCCCTGATTTTGTTCACCGTAAAAACAATCTCATCTTTTTGCAAATATTCATGTTTTTTTTTCAAGGATGATCTCACAGCAGCACGTTTTTTGAAGATATAAATAGTGAAAGATAATACTAATAATAATATAATATTGAATGTATTTATTTCAAATATGTACACAACATTTCTTACTGCTACTTCCAATACTGCTGCTGCTGATACTATGACTACCACTACTACATATACTACTACTACTACTACTGAATGTATTTATTTCAAACTTGTTGCTGATACTGCTCCTACTATTACTACTTTTGAATCATCTTTTACAACTACTACTACTACTACTACTTTTACTACTACCACTGCGACTACTACTACTACCTTTACTACTACTACTACTACCTTTACTATTACTACTACCTTTACTAATACTAACACTACCTTAACTACTAGTACTACCACTGCGACTACTACTACTACTACTACCTTTACTTCTACTACTACCTTTACTACTACTACTACTACTACTACTACTACTGCTAGTACCGCTACTCCTCCTCCTACATCTCCCCTGGTCAGATGAGACAGCAGCAGTTATGGGTCTCACCTGGGTGGCAGTGGACGCAGCAGACTTTCTCTCCGTTTATATCCCATTCCAAGCACCCACTCCTCTCCTGAGGCGCGGGACCACAGTTTGAGAAGCGCAGCAGCCCCCACAGCCCCATCAGCACCAGCAGCACACTCATCCTGTCTCTGGCTCTCATTCCCAGACAGCGTCAGAGGAGTATTGCCCCCTTCAGAACATGTGTCATCACTTGTACTCAGCACAAAGTGAATGAGACTGGAGTAGGCAAGACAAAACGCTGAGGGGCGGAGTCATAAGATATGACACGCCCACTTTGCCCACCTTCTGCTCTAGTCCAGTGGTTCCCAAAGTGGGGGTCCCGACCCCCCGGGGGGTCGCGGGAACCCCTGGGGGGGTCGCAAGATGATTTCCACACAAACAAACAAAAAAGATTTTTTTTTTTGAGCAAATATAAAGCCCTTAAATATTTATTTAGCATTTGATTTGATTCAAAAGGACTACTTGTTAAATTGTGTTTGGAGACTATAATATATTTTAATAACGTTAGTAATTTTGTCCCAGTCATTGCAGCGTCAATCAAAATCATCACGTAACACAGCTCACATCATGCGCAGCGACAAAGCGTGTCCTGCTGTTGTTTGCTCAAACTAAAGGTGTTTGGAGGCTACAAATAAATAATACCTGCTTTAAAATGAAACGTGGTTAATATCCACAACAGAAAAACCCGGAGGGGGAGAAAAGTCACTTGTATCAGGGGCTGATGGTGCGAAGAGAGGGAGAGAGGGAAAAGGAGGGAGAGAGGGCAGAGGAGGGAGAGAGGGAGAGAGGGCAGCGGAGGGAGAGAGGGCAGAGGAGGGAGAGAGAGGGAGGGAGAGGGCAGTGGAGGGAGAGAGGGCAGCGGAGGGAGAGAGGGCAGCGGAGGGAGAGAGGGAGAGAGGGCAGCGGAGGGAGAGAGGGCAAAGGAGGGAGAGAGGGCAGCGGAGGGAGAGAGGGCAGAGGAGGGAGAGAGGGCCGCGGAGGGAGAGAGGGCAAAGGAGGGAGAGAGGGCAGCGGAGGGAGAGAGGGAGAGAGGGCAGCGGAGGGAGAGAGGGAGAGAGGGCAGAGGAGGGAGAGAGGGCAAAGGAGGGAGAGAGGGCAGCGGAGGGAGGGAGGGAGAGAGGGCAGCGGAGGGAGAGAGGGCAGCGGAGGGAGAGAGGGAGAGAGGGCAGCGGAGGGAGAGAGGGGCAGGAGGGAGAGAGGGAGGGCAGCGGAGGGAGAGAGGGCAGAGGAGGGAGAGAGGGCAGCGGAGGGAGAGAGGACAGAGGAGGGAGAGAGGGCAAAGGAGGGAGAGAGGGCAGCGAGGAGGGAGAGAGGGAGAGAGGGCAGCGGAGGGAGAGAGGGAGAGAGGGCAGAGGAGGGAGAGAGGGCAAAGGAGGGAGAGAGGGCAGCGGAGGGAGGGAGGGAGAGAGGGCAGCGGAGGGAGAGAGGGCAGAGGAGGGAGAGAGGGCAGAGGAGGGAGAGAGGGCAGAGGAGGGAGAGAGGGCAGCGGAGGGAGGGAGGACAGCGGTAGAACGGCGCGTTAAAGAGGCCCGGCTTTTCGGAGTCAAAGGTAAAGAGGTCCGCACATTAAAAGCGGGTGGCCGGTTTATGCCTTTACTGACAGTAACTTTGGAAAGAGAAGCCGCGGGGATGAACCGCATAAAGTAACAGCAGAAAGCGGCCGTCCGCTTTTAATGTGCGGACCTCTTTACCGCTGACTCCGGAAAGCCGGCCCACTTTACCGCGGTAGGAGAACAGTGAGGGCGAGCCGCAAGAAATGCGCTCCACTTCTGCTGAGGAGGGAGCCCGCCAAGCCCATCACTGTGTCACTACATGAGTAAAAATATGCAAGCCTCCTTTTTTGGGCTGGACAGTGCAGCTCGGTAGTGGCGTGAGTCTCTAGAAAGCGTTACTCCGTATCAAGGAAATACATGCTCATTTCATGTGACGGAAGGGCTGTTGGGGGGGGGTCGCGGGTTAGCAGAGCATTTATGATGGGGGTCGCGGGCTAAAAACTTTGGGAACCCCTGCTCTAGTCTACACTCATTCAAACTGCTTTCCTTTGATGCAATAGAAGTCACATTCATTTTAGATTTCACTGAGTTACTCTTTTTAGATTTACTAAGTCACTCATTTGAGATTTATTTTGAGAAACTGAAAATTCTGAAAAACATCTGATATGAAAGTGCTGGGGTTTGGGAACTTGCCTGAGCCTGCCGCACTTAAACTGCTAATGCGTTTCTGATCCAACACAGAAGAGAAAACAAAGAGAAAAATTCCTTGAAAGGAAAGTTAGCCTCATCCCAACTGTATAATAACATGGTGGAGAGTAACTTAAGTATTTTTTTTTGACGGAAGAACTGTGTTCCAGATTCTATTATTTTCTACATATAATTTCTGACGACTTTTTACTTTAGGTCAAACTTTTGGTGCTAAAAAGAGACAAAAGGGCGAGTTCAAAAACAACAGTTCTGACACAAGATCAAAATGTGTCCAAGGAACGCTGCAAAAGTAAAAGTATTCAAATGCCCATAACAATACCTGAACTTTCTGCTCTTAACCTCTTAAACTCCTACATCTGTTGAAGAAGATGACATAGTCTGGGATCGCGTCTTAAATTCTGACAGAAGACATGTTTTATTGTCGATGGTAGAGACAGCACGAACAACAGATACAACAGAATGCAAGTGTATTATACAGAGCAGAGGCATGGAGACCTCCAATCAGCAGCTGCCACAGTGCCATGTAGCTTGGCCTTCAGATAGACAAAACAAGGGAAAAGTGGCTTCTGCACATTGATAGAATGATGAGTTTAACTTTAATAAAAGTTGCTTCAAAGTGTTATGAAATCTCACATTCCCCCCTCTGGTCATACATTCACGTGTGACCATCGGGATCGATAAACAGCAACATAACATCATAACTCAATACTTCAACTCGGTACTTCAAAAAACTCAGAACTCGGAATACTTCAAAAACTCAGAAAACTCATAAAACATGTTCAGATCTTTCATAAAACTCAACAATCTTCAGTAAAATACCAAACTTCATCAGTCGATGGTGGTTCCAGATATTGCTTTGAAAACAGTCTCTCCCACTTCTCTGTTTTGATTCTTCAGGCTGCATTTGTGCCGAGCCATGAATTCTTCTGTGACGTGTCTTTCAATCACACGTTTCAGCTTCAGTGTCCAGATTCAGCAAATCAATTCAGTCCAAATTATGTCCAAATTCAGATATCCAATTGTTCCAAATTATGTCCAAATTGTTTAATCCAATGGTTCCAAATGGTGTCCATGCAAAAGAGGACGATGGTATTGTCCATGTCTCAGCAGCTCACAGCCTGACTGGAATCAGGGGCTGTGCAGATTGTCCATGTGCTGGTCCAGATGCATTCTCTTGAGGTTTCTCAGTTTTGGCTTAAAAAAAAACACTTTTTGTGTAAAAAAAAGGAGTCTTCTGTTCTCTAGATGTTACAGACAAGGCCCGCATTCTTCCACCACCTGAAGAAGATGACAAAGTCTGGGATCGCGTCTTTCATTCAGACAGAAGACATGTTTTATTGTCGATGGTAGAGACAGCACGAACAAAGCACACGAACAACAGATACAACAGAATGCAAGTGTATTATACAGAGCGGAGGCATGGAGACCTCCAATCAGCAGCTGCCACGGTGCCATGTAGCTTGGCCTTCAGATAGACAAAACAAGGGAAAAGTACTGGCTTCTGCACATTGATAGAATGATGAGTTTAACTTTAACAAAAGTTGCTTCAAAGCAGGGACGTGCGGTGAGGTTTGTGATTGGGGAGGCACTGACTTTAAAAGTCAGATTTACAATCATTATTCAAATAAAATAGGATTTAATCACCAATGCAATGACATCCACAAACTTTATATACTGTAAAGATAAGAGAACCAGCTTCTTTTAATAATCTCACAACAAATCTAGCTGCTGACTCTGCTCCGCATCAAACAACATCTTTAAGAAGCGCAGGTGCGAGAGACGCGAGGAGAGAGAGACGCGAGGAGAGAGGAGCAGAGAGAGACAGAGAGGAGCAGAGAGACGGAGACGCGAGGAGCAGAGAGAGACGGAGACGCGAGGAGAGAGAGACGCGAGGAGAGAGGAGCAGAGAGAGACGGAGACGCGAGGAGAGAGAGACGCGAGGAGAGAGGAGCAGAGAGAGACAGAGAGGAGCAGAGAGACGGAGAGAGCAGAGAGACGGAGACGCGAGGAGAGAGAGACGCGAGACGCGAGGAGCAGAGAGAGAGACGAGAGGAGCAGAGACGAGACGCGAGGAGAGAGAGACGCGAGGAACATAAACAATAATTTAAACAAGTTGCAGAACTCTTGAGCAGTGTTTGAATCAGTGTTTTTCGGAAAAGCACTACTTTGCCGGTATCTGTCAATGTTCAACATAAAACACAGATTAACAAACTCCTCCCCCGCAGCCGGACTAACCTCGTAAGTCCAGTGGTGGTCTCCCAGTCTATATTAATTCTTTCTTTGTTTGAAAGTCCAATTGAGAAAAAAAATCTTCATTCAAATCATCCATTTTCCAGCAAAAGAAATAGCATTTTGGGCTGATTGTTTGTTAGCAACTCTGGTATGAACTTTATGCTCACTATCACCCCTAGCGGTGAGGCACAGATACCGCCTGCCTCACGCCAAGCTTTTTCCTTGTGTGTTCATCTACGATCAAAAGACTTAAACTAAATATAAATTGTACACACATACGTGCAATACACTACTAAACACTAAGAGGAGTTTAAAAAATGTTTTTAAAGCAGGATATTTGAAACAAACGGTGATATATCAACTGCACGAGCTGAGTGCACTCAGACACACACACACACACTGTGAGGGAGCGGTCTGGGGTGAGGCACGCAGGAGCGCTGCCTCACCTCGTCTCTTTGAATAGGAATAACGGGATTTCGGCGATTTTGACTTCAGAAATGATCAAAACTGATGGGAACCGTGCCGAATATACATTAAAAGCATAGGACAGTGGATATAAATTATATATTTAAACTAAAATAATTATTAGTTTCCAATAATGGCAGGTGAGGCTCTGCCTCCCCTGACTGCACGTCCCTGCTTCAAAGTGTTATGAAATCTCACACTGTTTTGGCTCGTGCACAAAAGTTTGGCATACCCAAATGTC